TTTTTTTTTCTTTCGACTTGCTCGGTGGCACCATTTAGCGTCTGATTTAAGCAAAGAAGCATTGTACGAAGTGTAAGAACATACGACAAAATCTAGCATATTTGAGATATTTCAAGTGACTAAGAGTGTTTCACGTTGATATGTACGAAATAAAACTGTTGAGATTTTTCTTTTCAACAGCATAGCTGTCACATGGAATTTGACAAAAATATAGCCATTTGACGAGGAAGCAATAAGAAGAGGTAATTTTTTTGCGCGGCGACACAAGATATATTCAACACATCAAAACGATAGATAGATGAGAAGCATTTGACTGGTGCTGTGTGAATGAATGAATGACTGTGTTAGCTAAGCACATAAGAATAACCAGGCTGGAACGCACTGGGCGGGCCCGTGCGATCATGCGTTTTTACACCGGATTTGAAATACTCGGGTCATCAACTTTATGAATGGCTGTTGCTTTACACCTATCTTTTGTGGTCACTAACATAAATCACCATAAATTTTACAAAGCAAATATACAGTTTCCATCTAACAGTCGTTCTTTAAAAGTAACCTAGTTATTCAGTGAGAAATTTTTTCAAGAATTTAAGTGCCAGAACGTAAGAACCACGCATAACTCAAGGCTGAATTTAAAATACTTAAGTTGTACTTGGACAGGGAACATTACCCCAAAATTTCAGTTTTCCAGCTTTTCTGTTTACCGAGTTAGCAGTCTTCTCGTCAGAAACTTTACATACCCGTACCTGGTTGCTCCACGTGCTTGGAAAGATGAATTTGAAATTTTTAAATTGCACTGGGCAGGGAACATCTACCTAAAATTTCAGCATTCCTCCTCTTCTGGTTGCCAAGTAATTTTCCTGCAGAAAATTTCATACGCTCTTACTTGAGTACCATGCATGGGGCTGAAATTGAAACATTGGGGCTGAAATTGAAACATTTGAGCTGTACTTGGATAGGGGACATTCTTTCAAAATTTCAGCTTTCTAGCTTTCCTGATACCCGAGTTAGCAATTTTTCCTCTAAAACTTTCATACGCCCTTGCGTGAGTACCACGCATACCTGGAGGCTGAATTTGAAATCTTTAGCCAGTATATGCACAGGAAATATCCCTACAAAGTTTCAGCCCCTTAGCTCATGTGGTTCCCAAGATCGCTTTTCCGCCAAAAAGTTTGCATATTTCTTTAAAGCGTCCGTACGCGGCACCCAGGCGTCCGAAGGGGATGAAATTAAAAAGGAAAGGTCGCGCATGGTGTGGGCATATACTCCCAAAATTTCGGCCTTCTAGCTTTTCTGGTTCTCGGGTTGAAAGTGGGTGACAAAAAGTGCGAACACACAGAAACACACAGCCTGTTCCGTTTTTGCAATTTGCATATATGCAAAAACGCATAAAAATGTCAAAGTTTTGCAGAACATATTAAAATTCTACGAAAGAAAGCGCTAGGAAGAGAACAGAAGCAATTTTGTGATTAAAAATCTAGGATTTATCGATTGTTCGAATGGAAAATCTCATGAAAAAGAAAACAACATTTGGAAAGGATGATTTTGTAATAGAATAAAAGTCTTTGCTCTGGTTGCAGAACTCAGTAAATATGGTGAGTTGCACAAATTAGTAAATTGGACAGTAGAAACTCGCATCCTTGCACGTTATTGCTGCACTTGCACCGTAATGCATGCTGAATCATTTGTTTAATCCTGTCATGAGTTAGCAATTGACCCTGCATCTACAATATCCCGCATTAGACCCTAAGAACACCTAAGATATGGATCTCGTGGTCCAAGTGCGGCAACGTGCAGGAAAAACGTTATACAAGTTAACAGAATCAATATACAGGGAACTGGCAGATATCTAGAATTTTTCAGTGCTAGCTACTGTGTCAGTGCTTCGTCCGCTATCAAATAAAATAAAATTTAGTGAAAGCCGACGCAAACCTGTCTTATTTAGGATTTTACAGATGCAACAGCAGTACCAGTATGCGCTAACTAACACCATGCTAGTGATGTCAGAACTGGTTAGTACTGCCTATTTTACAAACTAATAAAGCTTGATGAAAAATAGACAGAGCCCCGAGCAAAATAGACATACTCGAGCATCCAGCGTTAGCTACGAAGGTGCTGAACCAGTTTATATCTGCGTACCCGCAGCACATCGTTTTGGATGTCTCTTTGAAAAAAAAGTGACCAGTTCAAAAAAAAACTCGGAACAAGCCAGAACAGCTTTAAAGCAAGCATTAAGCTAAATTATGTGCTGAAAATTCGAAATAATGCATCGATCGGATTCACACAAAACTTCTTTTTTCGCTAAATTGAAGAAAATTGTTCGTTCTAATTTACAGTCGATGATAGCTATCGCAAAACTGGACTGCCTCCTTGTGTGATCCTTCAACATAAAAAGGACGAAATTTATGCTACGGTAGATAAGCGCTAGTTAAGCTAAAATTTTCAGGGAAAGAAATTTAGAAAATGAGGCATAAATTTAGTCACCATTTATGCTCGAAGTTTTTCAAATTTAAAAGCAGTATTGCTCAGAAATGTGCACACAGCATTTGCCCGAGGATCTGAAGATTAAGGCAGGTTTGCCCAGCTTGATTTAGTATATCTGCACATTACAAAAAGTATACACATGCATGCGTTCTAGATCCTGTGTAAAATTTTCATCTACACTAAACTCACGCTTCAGGCATACTCTTCAGATGCAGCAGTTTTCTTCTGTAGCGTTTATCGACAATCGGTGCGTGTAGACGGCAGCTGATAAAGGAAATCTTGCGGCCCGTTTCTGCGCTCATTGAGGTTGTAGCGCACTCCACGCGCGCGCAGCACTTGTCCGACATAGTGCTCGACCTTTTTTTGGTTGCTGCAAAATCTACCTATAGCAGAAATGATCGTATCTTTTAACCACTCGTAGCCAGTGAACCGTTGTTCTTGGCTTTTTGTAGTAGTTAAGTGAATCAAAAAATACACGATATTTCTTCCAAGAGTTGCTTGAAGAGTTTTTATTGTATGTTTTTCTCCTCCCCTGCTAATAAGTTTTGAAAATAAAACATTTCAAAAATCAAATATAAGTAATATATTTAAAGTATTTTACATAAGAAAGATATTGTCAATCAATCAGCGGAATAGGAATGTTTCAGTTCATCATGTCGTATGCATTCCCGTTGAACACCACAACTGGACCTCGTCAGTACAACGGTTGTGGTTTCAAATGGTTTTAGATAAAACGTGTTTGAGATACAATTGGAAAGAAAATTAAATAATTTATAAAATATTCTAGAGCGATTAATGTCAGCAGTGACATACCTAGAAAAGAGTGCAAACAAGCAAAAGAGTGCAAACAGTATTGTAAAAATGTGCGGTGGAAAGCGATGGTTTTTATTTTTTTAGTTACGCCCTTTCCCTTCTATTCCCTCTCTCTTTGTGAGGTACACTACTTAACAGCAGTGAGCTGTAAAACACCCACCTATCACGGAATCTGTTATCTGATAAAGCGCCGAGGCGAGGAATTGCGCTTTTTGAGGGAGCTGTCATTGATGAGCACTGCGAGTGAATACTAATGCTGGATTCGGAGCGGCTGTCCTCAGAAGTAATCGAATAACCGCTTGATACGGGGGCCTTGCGTGGCGATGGTGGATAGTAACGTACGGACATCACGAGAGGCTGGCTCTCCAGTGGTCGGGAATGATTGCAGATACTGAACTTCGACCAATATACATCGCGTGGATCAGGAGTCAGTGGTAATAGTACGTCCTTTTTGTTCGGATTTGGTGGTAGCTGAAAAATGACTAGTCAGGCGTGCCAGCCCAAAGTATTAGTGGTGCTCGATCACTATGCCTGTCAGAAGCAAAAAAACTGCTTATCACCTACCACTTCATTATCCATGAAAAGCGTCAGTGTTTCATAGTCCAAATGGTACCACAGTCGCTAGCGAAACAGCAGCTATCCTGTCCACTTCGAGTATTTGCTTTAAATTAATAGCGGAACTATTGGTCAGATTGGTACCATCAACCGCACGTGATAACGAATCGTTGTATTAGGTAACAGATTATCAGGTCTGGTGCAAGAACACGAGTAAAGTTATGCCAGTCTACCAAATTTGCAGATTTTTTACTTGAATAAATTTGCATAAACTTACGGAACAGAATGCAGAAACAAGTGGCCCTGGGAACATGGCCGGATGCAGCCAGCTTGGTCGTTCCTTTGCATTCAGTATTTCATCGACAACAGTGCCCATCCGTTCCAGAAGTTGCTGCCGTTCTGCGGCGCACCCCAGTGCGTTTCGGAAAGGATCTTCCAGTGAGAAATACCTGGGAATTTGTCGCAATGAGTTGGTGGAAATTGGTAAGCGACTCGACGAGCTATTCTTTGATATCAAAAGCTAACTTTGTGCCTCTCTCCTGGTCATTCTCGCTTTTCTCCACATTCTGTGAAATCTAATAAACAGCGTTGCGCAACCTGAGAACCAGCACAAACAAGGGGTTTTTGCCACGGTTATACGGGTATTTTTTCTTAAGCAGGTTTGGTTGTGCCTTCTGCTGAGCACTGAAAAATCTACCTAATAATGTTTTCCCGATTTCCAATTTCCGAAAGATGGAAAATTCAAAATCGGACAGTTAGAGGTAATTAGACATTAAGGGGCTAGTTACGGCGTTATAATAGCGTAGTTGCTCAATCCTAATTTTTTCAGCATTTGCATTTGACCTCTGCTTTCGTTCACTGTACAATTTAATTCTCTAAATATCTTTTCTATTTAACCGTCTGGAGTTGCAGAAACTAATGGTGTGTTGGAAGAAGCACAACTAGTGTTAAATCAGAGGACTTACGCAAGTCTGATTTTCACTTAGTTGAAGGTATAGAGCGACACATAACTAATCAAATGAAATGAATAACTGCGGATGATTGAAAAGAAATAATAAAAAGACTGTAATAAGATTACTAGAACATGCGCGCGGAAACTTTATGTTTGCCAGTCTGAGCATGCACACTAACAAATCTAGCTTACTGGTTGCTGAAATTGCTTTTAGTTATAAACGAAGCTCGTTTTATGCCTACATACTCAAGTATGGAAACTATGAATATACCAACAGAGAATGCGCTCAGTTCCCTCAATGTTAGAACGCGCTAAATATATCTTGTAAACTTGTTTGAAAATTACATATTCCAATGTACATGTAATGCAGTCTGTGTTTCACCACTTAGCTGTAAACACAGACAGCGCACGGCATGCGGGTAGGAGTGGAATCGCCAGTACAGTAGGAGGAGTATTGTGAACCTCAGAGTGGAAGATAACAACGGGCAGGGCGGACGAAGTGATGAAAGGAGGAAGCATGAAACATGCTAAATAAAGGACAGATTAATTCGAGAAACGTTGAATTAGCACTAAATTTGCTACTAAAATTCATAAATTAGGTGCGTATAATTTAAGTAGTGCACCCTGAGATAACTCTTATTGGCGCCCCTCGCCTTACTCCTTTTCCATGACGCTAATTCGTAAGTTATCATTTTCAATGAAAGGTACCTCATATACAAAACATGGAGTTCATGAATAGCATCTTCGACTTCTCTTCCCCGGTTCTGCGCTTCGTCCACCATTATGCAGTCTCGGACGGACACCCGGAAGTAGATTCTGAAATTTTAATTTATCCGACGTTGGTTATAACGGTACAAATAAATAAAAGCGAATTTTTATTTTAATATTTCGACTCTACGCACGTGGTAATAAGCTTTGCGTGTTTCGATAACAATAATAAAAATAAAGACCAGACTGGAACGCAACAAGATTACCGGTGCGATCATTCGCTTTTGCACTAAATTCGCAGATCGCTAATAGCAGAAATGATCCCTCCGCTGTGGCCTAACAACTGGACTCATATTGGCCGCGCTCTGACCATATAGGGAAAAATAGCGTCAACTGGCATGAAGTTATAGGGCTGTATGGACTTCCAGGTATATGACTATCAATTTTTTGCATGAAGCCTGGTCGTTTTTCTTGCAAATGCTCGCCCTTCGAAAAAATACAGATTTCCTGTTCACAGAAAAGTGGAAATGTTGTTGAAGTTGTCGTTCATCAAATAAAGATCCAAACATGCAAACGAGCTCATTTACATGCTGGGAAAGGATGAGGGCGGTCATTCGCTGCAAAATGCACTCGTTTCTGATTTTTCGGT